GAGATAATTGTTCTAGGCTTTGTTTGTTTGTTTGTTACAGTTCCTCGTAGCATCTGGTCCTTACCTTGCACAATATGTTCCTTTTTGAAAATGGGAGGAGGTAGGAATTTACAACCATCTAATGATGTGTAAATGACTTACCATTCCCAAGCTGCAAAACTACAGACTGCAGAGTTGAACTGCCATGGTTGTTGTCTTTACATCCAAGCAGAGAGAGAGAAAGGGAGTGAGTGAAAGAGAGAGAAGATATTGAAAGTGTTTTAATTGCAGACGGATGCCATCGCCTCCAGCAAAAACTCTGCTTCTATCATAAAATTTTCATATGACCCCACGAGAATGCAAAACTGGAAACTTAACCCTCTAAGTAAAAGTCAATGAACCTGATACCGGTTTCATATCCCATAAGCCTTTCACTCTGGAATATTAATTTAATTAAGATTGGTATAATAAATTCTGTTGGGGAGCTTTGCTGAAACATAAGATGGCTTGCTAATCAAGTCTCGATGCTGTTCTTGATAGCTGCCTTCAGGTTGCCTTCAATGTATGGAGACCCTATTAATGAGACACCTCAAAGTCACCCTATCCTCAAGTTTTGCAGCTCAGGAACATGGCTTTCTCAATTGAATCCATCCATCTGAAATGCCATTTTCCTCTTTTCCTATTGCCTTCCAACTCCCAAGCATTATCTTTTTTTCTCTAGTGGAACATGTCTTCTCATGGTATGTCCAAAGTACAACAGCCTCAGCTTAGTCATCTTGGCTTCTATGGGTATTTCAGGATTGATCTGTTCAAGGACCCATTTATTTGTATTTTTGGTCATTCCTGGTAGCCTCAGAACTCTTCTCCAGCACCATATCTCAAATGAATGAATTTTCTTCCTATCAGCTTTCTCCAGGGATGGTAAGAAAACTCATTGGTATTCCTCTCCTTGCAGAAGAATGGGTTTTTCACCATTCAAGATACCGCTGCAAGAAGAACAGGTTACACTTCTTCACAGTTTGTGAAATCTTTCAGGAAGATTTTTGTTGTTGTTAACTGCCCTCGAGTCAATGGTGACCCTATATATGAGACATCTCCAAGAAGACCCTCTGTCCTCCCCTGCTCTGCTTAATTCCTGCAAGCCCTTAATACCCGTGGCCTATTTAATAGAATCCCTTTGCTCTGCAGAGGGGCGGGATATAAATAAAAATTATTATTATTATTATTATTATTATTATTATTATTATCCCTCCATCTGGCCTGTGGCCTTCCTCTCTTCCTACTTCCCTCCACCTTTCCCAGCATTATTGTCTTTTCCAAAGAGTCCTCCTTCTCATGATGTGTCCAAAGTATGACAGTCTCAGTTTGGTCATCTTGGCTTCTTCCAGGGAGGTTTCCAGCTTGATCTGCATTAGGACCCATTTGTTTGTCCTTTTGACTGTCCATGGGATCCTCAGCATTCTTCTCCAGAAACACATTCTCTCAAATGAGTTGATTTTCTTCCCGTCATCTTTCTTAACTGTCCAGCTCTCATGTCCATACATGATAATAGGGAATAAAAACATTTTTCATGCTTGAAGCAGTGTTTTCTGCCCAATGCACACTGCCACCTGTGCAAGACACATTTGTGTTGAAAACACTTTTTTTTCTTTTTTGCACATGAAAATTAATGTATTTTTGATTAATTTCCTGGAAAAAAAATCCAGGAAATTACTCTACTCAAAAAGACATTATTTTTTATTTTATTTTTCTTTTTGGCACAAGAAAAAATAATGTCTTTTGGAGCAGAGTAATTTCCTGGAAATTTTTTTCAGGAAATTAATCAAAAAGACATTATTTTTTCCTGTGCAAAAAACAAAAAGTGTTTTCTACACAAAATTATGTGCCTTGCGCTGGTGGCAGTGTGCATAGGGCAGAAAACACTGCTGTGTTTCTACACAGAAATACATGCTTATTTTCCAGAACAAAAACATATTTCATTCCCCCCAAAGTTTTCATCAAGTACAAACATCAAGAGGAAACTGCACAGAGACCTTTATTTATCATTTGTTTATCTAATTTACATCCCGCCTTTCCTTGGGCTCAAGGCTGATGACCTTGAAAACAAATAATATGTATTTTCTTCCACCAAGGAGAATGGTGTAGAAATTCATGGTTTTTGCATGTGAGGGTGGCCAAGATGAAGATTCACATCCCTTGTCAGCAACAAATTCTATTTTATTTTGTTTGGTAGAATTCCCCCCCCCCC